TGCAAGATGCAGTAGCCCCAGTGCACCACTCCACAGCCAGGATGCCCTGCTGTCATAAACCACGCTGGCCACTCTAGTGGCCTCAGTAACTGCGTTCGGCCTGTCTGAAGTAGAACTTTGAGTTACTCACTACATAGTTTCAGAATAAATGTGGCTTTCTGAGTAGCAGTCTGGTCTTCAGATTTCAGAAATGGAAAGTGTTTGTTTAAACTGCTGCAACTGTAACTAAGTAAATGATGAAGCTGTGTTGTTTAGATCTTTTTAAAATCTGAGGAACTGATCGTTTGGAATGATACTCTTTAAGCAGGAAATTGGCTTCCTTCACTTCTTGCCTCATCAGTGACTTTCTGATCCCTTCAGGAGAAAGATGCCCTGTGATTAAGGCCTTGGATGGGACTCTGGAGACTTAGATACTTGGTTCACATTTCTGCTACTGCTATCCTGTGTGACCTTGCATAAGTTATTTAATCTCTTTAGGTCTCAGTTTTTCATCTGTACAAAAATACTGCAAAACAAAAAAAAATACAAATCTTGTGCTTTTTTACATTTTTATTTATATTGTGTGTTGCTGCTCGTTACATACATGTAATTGCACAATGGGATACCATTTTCAATTGGATTTCTAGGTGCTGTTGCAACAAAAAGAATAATGTAACTGTATCTTGTAAATATGCCCTACACAGTGTGCTCTGAACATCATAATTTTATAGGTTATAATCTTATTTTCCCAATCAAAATGGCTTTGTATCTTTGGCTGGAAATCAAACGAGCAAGGAAGAGAAATGCTGGGTATTTGAGTGTAGCAACTAGCTGTTGGCTCATTCATGTTGTAGTAATATTTCGCATATAACTGGATGGGGTTCTTTGCATACTTGTTTCCAACAGCCTGTGATTCTTTTGGTCAATCTGACAGGCTCAGTGTGACCCTAAAGGGTTTCTCATCTGTTGTGATGCACAGATATTCTTACAGAATTCTGTGCAGTGAGGTTCAGAACTGCATAGTTCTTCTAAAGACATTGGTATATGCATTAGAACAGCTGCAAATGAGGAGCTATCAGCTGACTTGAGAATAGTTTTCAGGTGATGGTCTGCCCAGTATTTGATCCTTTTAGCAGTGCTAGTGAATACTAAAGCTCCAACTTGTGTTTGTGTTTTCCTGGACTGCAGCTACTAAAGCCTTCTCATCTTTATGCCAAGACATTCCTTGGCCAGTGGGATCATTCCACTGACTTTGTTTTTTTCTTAAATTGAAATTGGTACCGATTTAAATAGTTTTGTCTTACAAAAAAAATCTCAGACAGCATTATGTCCTGCCAGTGACCGGCTGTGGAATTCCTGGGGTGATCAGTGGGATGTAACTGGCTGCTCTGCCGGACCCTCCAGGAGCGCTGAGGTACCTGAGGATTCTGCATAGAGGTTCTATGTCTGAGCCAATGGTGTGTTTGAATTGAAGAAAAATAACTTGCTGGATGTAAATTTGGAGACTCTGTGTTGGCTGACCACTAGGAAGGGATCAGGGTGCTGGGAAATGAGCCATGGGAAGGAGCCTGCATTCTGGGAGCTTGGGAGCTGCTGTCTTGTTCCTTGTAGTTTCTTTCAGTTAAAAGACTCTGAACTGTAACATTGGACTGATGTTTTGCCAGCAGCGGGAAATGGTTGTGAAGGTGCATTCTGACACTTAGAACTATGGTTATTTGTCAACCTGTGAGTAAATAGCATAGAGCTTTATATTCTGTCTGTGTGGGTGAGTGTCTGTCTAGCTCTTGGTCTGTGCCTCTCACTCTCTCTTTGTGCCTCATGCAGGCCCTGCCATGAATTTTCTCTGACCCCTTGGGGCCATTCCCACACGAAGCTTTGATGTGCGTGCCCAGATCTTGATTGACAAGGAAGTTTCGGTGGCGGCAGCAGGGAAACGAAGAGAAAAGGGCAGGGCTTTGAACTAAAGGGCTTTGAGCTCTGAGATGCTGTGCTTACTTATCTCCTTCAGAATGTTAATTATTTACCAAGATAATTGGTCACAAGGGGAAAAAAAGAGAGGGGAGGTTATTAAAAAATTCCAACACTAACACACTACAAAACCCTCATTTTCCAACTTGCAGCTGGCATGAAAAGGATGTTGTGTGTAAAAGGGCTTGAGTGTATGTGTGTTGGGGGGGCCTTTTAAAAGCACCCATTTCCTAAATAGAGGGACCCCTTCAGACAAATGCGGCGGAAACATCAAAGCTCTTGCAGAAGTTTTCTCTGGGGTTTCTAACCACGTCTGGTACTTTTTAATTAAAAAAGTTTATGGAGAGCTGTCTTCATGACTGGAGCAGGCAACCTTAGGCCCTGTTGATTGAAGAATGGAATGACCTAATAAATAATGATTTCTGCAAAAATGTCAGTTCAAGGATGTGAAGATACCTGGCTCCTTCGGCAGGAGCTGAGACTGACGAATGTCTCCTGCCTCCGTCTGACGTGCTGTGTGTGAAAGGCTCCTGCAGCCCTTGAATTCATGTCAAGATGCATAATACCAAGCACTCATTTGAAGCATGTAGTCAGGAAGATGGGTGAAGCTGTTTTGTTTTGCCTCCAGTTAATACAGTTTAATTAGTCTCTGTGTTAGGAAGCAATCCACAGACTCCCCTGTGAAGATCAGGGTTCCTTGGAGTTCTGGTAATTGTTGTGCTGGATCAGGTCCAAGGACCGTCCTTCCAGTGTCCTGACTGTGCTGGTAGTGGCAACAGAGGTTCAGGAAAACTCCAAGGGCAGGCAGCCCGCCCTGCACAATTGCAAAGTATGCGTTAATGATATAAAGAAGGGCAGTTGCTTGCTTTTATTTATTTATTGGATCAAGGTGAGAAATTGTGCATTGTTTTGCCAGGGTAAACCTAGACCAGTCATCAACATTGTCTGTAGGTTTCTGGCTATCACAGTACTTACCTCTGTTACCCCATGATCATTTGGGTTCTTTACCTGTCTCCTAGCATAAGGCCTTCTGAAAACTGATAATAATTGTTTCAGTTAGTTAATGTAGTATTATACTGATGTGTTAATTCTGGTAGTGCCTTCATCTTACTGTTTGGGCCACCGATTATTTACTTTAGGGACTTCCTTTATCTGAACTTCTTGTTGTAACTTTTTGTTGTTTTAATCCTTGAATTGTATTTTAGCTCTTTAGCTTTCCTTCCTTCCACCTGTACCCACCCTGCTGCTTCATTTCATATTATGGACTTCAGAAGTATTAGCTACCAAAGTTGAATGATCTTTATTATTTTTTTAAATTATGGATAAATGACAACATTTGTTAGTTTATTTTCATGCTTTCTTCCCTGCTTGCTTTTCTAAGTTATGGCTGCACAGCATTTCTAAGACTCCATTTTTCCAAGTCATGTTTATTCAACAGCTAAGAATTCAATAGCTAAGGATTTTATTTCCATTTTCCCCAACCTCCAGGTCTTCAATCCATGCTAAATTTTTTTAACTCTCTTTTTCTAAAATAGGGTGTCTGTGTTAATTGTTAGTGCATTTTCACTTCTTATGCTGTTGAATTTTGTTACATTGTGATCACTGTTTCTTACTGGCTTGACTCTGATCCTATATATTACTTAGGGCAACTGGAAAAGAATTTCTTTTATGTTTACAATTACTCTTTCAGTAGGTCATCATTTATGCTACGGACAGTAGTCACTACTTTTCAACAATATGATGTAATTTAATGAGTTAGTACATTGAACGTAATTCATATTTTGTAATCTATTCAGTATCTATTTCTGCAGAGGTAGTTGAATAAAGCTATTTAGCTTTTTTGATGTTTTTGTGCTTTATTGCACTTCAGTTTGATGTGATTTTTTTGGTATATGTTTGACTAGAAGTTACTTCTTGTCATGGAGTACTGAAGAGGTGGGTGAAAGGATAAGATTCAGGGTCATGTGCTGCATCCCTTCCTGGAGCCATTCTCCCTGGGGCAGACACCTGCCCACTGGTGTCAGCAGGGAAGGGTGGCACTGACCCTTTGTCACTGGTCTCCCTCTGTGGGGACAGTGCTTAGAAGGCCACAGACTCAATACCTTTGCACGCATTAACTTACTTTCACTTGGTTCAGTGCTTCGTGACCTATATGTGGGGTTTTTTTAAGGTGTGCCACACAGTGTAATTAAGGCACATACTAAATGAATCATTATTTGGCTGATGGACATCTGAAATAATAGAGAGGAATTGTTGAAAAACATAGATCACATAGAACATGTGATGCTTAGCTGGAATTAGTTCTGGCCACACTCTTCATTATTTTTATCTGGTAGATGTATAAATACAGGAGGTAGATATATAAATACAAAATAATCATTAATAACATTTGGAGATGAAACAAAGATCGCTAGAGTGATAAATGCAGACATGAAAGAGGCAGTGGTACAGTTATCTGGGTTACATAATGAGTTAAATGGATGAAAAAAGAGTTTGAATATGGCAATTATTCTGACAAGTAGGAACTAGGAATTTGGCCTGGATTTATGGAAGGATAGACTGCATCCTGGAAGGCTGTTGAAACTAGACAAATTCCAAATAAATACAGAGTAGAAGTGTAGTAGAATCATCTACAGTAGATTTCTGAGGGCAGAGCTGGATTTTCCTTCCCTCACTATCAGCCATTCAGGTCTTGGCAGATTCTTAATTGTACTCATGTTACCTGCTCAGCAGTGGAGAATGTGGGTGAAAGATAATGGCCTGAGATGTGGGGGCAGAGGACAACAAATGGCAGGTCATCAGCACAGGGAGCACTTGCTACACAGGTCTTGTCATCTGTGTGTAGTAGAATAGGTAATAGAATTTTGATTTATATCTTAGTCTGAGTGCCCTGTGCTCTACATAAGTTTGGCCTTTTCTCAATTCCAGATGGTTCAGGGAGCTCAGCTTGGTCTGTGAATTTCTCTGTAGCTGTCCAGCCTGTCTTTAATGTTCACAGTGAGCTGTGAAAACATCTACAATCACTGATCCCTTCTTTTGCCCTTTTGCTGCAGGCTAAACTATTTCCAACTGCTGTCATTCATTTTGGATCTGAGGAGAGCAGGGGTGAGTGAATTTCCTTTCTTCTTCAGCTGACTGTAGTTCCTGTAGTAGACCCAGAAGAATTACATCCTTAGATTGAGAATTCTTCTGACAAAAGACAGTCCAGTCATCGAGAATCCTAGTAAATGTTCCCATTCTGAATGGCTGCAGCTCTTCAGAGCTAGCTGGGTCAGCTAGCTGGAGCACAAATATAAACATAGTACCTTTCTTAGATTTTTTGGGTTGTGGAATAGGGATTGTCTACCACAGGGACCAGATGATAGAAGAGTGACTCAGTAGAAGGAAGTTCCCTTGCTCAAAATGTTAGCTATACAGACCTCCTGTTGTAGTCAGCTGGCTGGAAATGTGAGAACAGATCTGAATCTTTGATCCTTGACACCTCTGATTTGTGCTGAGCATCTCTGTCTCTCCCAGAGGTTAAAGCATGCTCTGGCCTCACAAAATGTTTCTGAGATGCAGGGAGCACTGAAAGAAAATGTCAAGAACTTGAGGCTTGAGTGATATAATAAGGCACCTTGAGTTGTGAAAGAAAATGTCATAATTTAAAAGTGTCCTGTGTCAGTTGGTGGAAGGTGATGCAGATTTACTTTTGTATACAGCAGGTATCTGCTGAGCTGAGAGCCATGTGATCCTGTGGGGATTGATGTCTCTGTTACTAAAAAAGTGTTTGGATTTCATTTTTACAGATTGTTACCTGAAATCAGAACTTCTGAGCTCTGTGGTTTCCCCTTCTGCAGCTGATTTATTAGTAGCCAGGTATGTTGGGACTGAATGGAGTTGCAAATGGGTGAATATTTCAGGGGTGGGAAGCATGAAAAAAGCCCATCTTACCACAAAGAGATGTGGTCTGAAGATGGTAAGGCTTCATTTTCTTCTGAAACAGTCAGACTGTGGTACTTCAGTCAGTCTTTGCAAAGTAGGATTTCACTGACTAAATCAAGTAAATCCTAGGGCATTATAATGAAAAAGAGCCTTTTCAGTCTGACTTTAAAAGTTTAAAGGTGGTGATAGTACACATGGCTATTATGAAAAAATGAACTTAATTCTACTTGTTTATTTTCTTCCTCAGATGTTTGTCCAAATCATTAGTTCCTTCTGCTTCCTCATCTTTAGAATCAACAGTTCCATCCCTATCTGAACCAGAAGTGGAAAGTCACAAAAAGACTGTTGAGCAGCCAGAACCAGCAAGTGTGCAGGAAACTCCACAGGTGTTGAGAAGAGCCCCTGGGAAGGTACCCAAATGGCTGAAGCTGCCAGGTATCCAGGAATCAGAGAGCTCCTCTCATTCTGAACTCCCCAGAAAGGCAGGCTCCTCTGTGCCAGATGTGTTGGATATTGACAACATTCTTAAAGATGTCAGCATACAGGACATTTGGCTCAGTGCTTGTCAAATACGAATCAGTTTGTGAATTAAACCTCAGCCTTCCCTGGAGAAGTGTCAGAGTGCAGGACCTGGGCATTGTTGAGTCTGATGTCTAATCTGTGTGTTTGCAGTGTTCTTAACTGTGTTCTGGTCTTAATGTGTGGAGTTCTTAACTGTGCTTGTGTAGTTCAAATATACTAGGCATGATATTCTACATACCGAGGGCCGTGCCATCTGTTAAGTCTGTCACTATTTTTCCTTTGCTTGTATAGTCTGTTTTAGTACTTTCCTGTCTTGTTGTTTTTTTGAGTTGGTCTTCCTGTTTTTAATCTTCACTGCAGTAGTGGTTTTCCACAGTTAAGACTGCAACCAAGTTTCCATTATGATTTTTTTTTTTTCTTGGTTTATCCTGATCAGAAAACTGCAACCTTGTTTTTAGTCTGAGAACCAATAACTCACGCATGGTTCTATATGAGAATTTATACAAAATATGAAGTAACTAGAAGAATTTCTGAATTAAACAATTGCAGATACTCAGTTTTTGATGCAGTGGCAAAGATGAGAGAAGATAAAACCCACAACAAACAAAAACCATTCAGTCAACCCCCTGAACAGCAATGAAACTAGGAAGAACTAAATGGAATTCCCTGCAGATCAAGTGGGTGGGTGTTCTAATCATCTTATGTTTATTTTGTAGGTGGGAAGAGATGAAGCATTCTGGGCCGCTGGATCAGCAAGCAGTCAGCTGGGCCCCTTTCTTGAGGAACTAATTCAGAATGTGTAAGAAATTGTTGGTAGCCCTGAAGAGATCGAATCTGTATGAACATTAGTTATGGATAGAAAATTGCTATTTTGAATGTCAGTTTCAGCTTTTGAAGAAGTGGAAGCCCTGTTTGTGGTCTTCGTGACTACAGAAGCAATGTTAGAAGTTAAATGTTAAGGCAATTAAAATGAATGGAGAATTAAGGGGCAAATAATTCCAGTATACTCTCTGCAAAGGTCTCTGTTTCTATCAATATTTTTAAATTCAAATCTTCCTAGGTCTACCTTCAGAGATAATGTGAGTGTAGCTGCCAGAATTCTGGCAGCAAGATACAATCCCTTTCAGCTTTAACTGTAGTTAAGTGCTGCCTAGAACAAGACTGCTTCTTGCTGGTTGGGGTTAGTGCTGCTGATAATTCTGGGCATAGATGGCTGGAAGGTGAGTGAAGAGGAAGTATGTCACTTAAAACAGTTAAAATAGATTTTTCCTGTAAACCCATTGGTCTCCTGCACTTTGATTGTTTTCTGTTGCCAGGATCTTGTTGACAAAGAACACAGGTATCCACTAATGGAATGCATATGGTTTGTTTCTGCACCAAGCTCTGTGTTTTACTTTCATTACATAGAATTAATTAGTATCAGTAATTAAAGTTATAGTGAGGAAAAAAAAAACATCCAATGAAAGGGTCTCCTTATGTGGGCTTCGATCTGTGGACTTCTGTGGTCCGAGTGTTTCCACAGAGCAGCTTTCTCTGCAGTGAAGTCAGTGTACAGAGGGAAGGTCTAGTCTGGATCTTTGCCTCCTGCAGGTGGTGTGTGAGGGTGGATATTGCTGGCTAGAATTGCTCCTATACTGGAGATGAGCTCCATAGTGCCACAGTAGCCTGCCACAGTAGCCATGGTGCTGTTTTATTTGAAGTCTTCTCCATGGATCAGTGATTCATATTGGACAGCTGGGGCTCCATGCTATGGTAATAACGTGTTGTCCATTTTCCCTGTGTAGACAATTGTCCCAAACTGTGTGTGCATCTGCACAGTTTGTAAAGGTAATAAAGCAGAGTGGCCAGAGGAGGCTTTTTGTCGGTTTCTTTGATAATGTTTCTTCCCCCAGTACTCAGTTTCTCTGTCAGTTCACAGGAACCTGCTCCCTTTTCAATAGGCCTGTCATGCCTCATTCCCTTCCTCCTTTTTCCCCCCCCCCTCCCAACAAAGCAAAATCGAGCTTTGTACCATCTGAATGAACTTCAAAGTGGCTAGAAAGGGCACCCAGGGTTCCTGGCACTTGTTATTGTCTCTTGGCCTGGCCAACGTTTCCCTTCAGGTCTAATTACTTCCAAATGCTCCCAGATGCTTTGAAGAAACTTAGAGGGAGGGGGAAGCATGAAAGAAAGGTGGAAGAGGGAAAATGAGACTCAAAGTGGAGGGAGCAGAATACTTTAGCAAAAATGTTGATTTCTTATATGACACAAACATAAATAGGGGATGTGTGTGGCCACTGGCAGTGGAGAAGGCAAGGTCACTACTTACAGATGCTGCTCGAGTCCTTACTGTTGGAAGGCCAGCCTTTCTGGCACCTGACAGGCTACAAAAGAGCTACTGCAGCCCAAAATACTAAAATAACATTTCAGTGGTTTAAGTGTGAGCTGAGCCTACGTTCCATAGGGCTGTGTATCTTGGTTCAGGTGCTATATCAGGTTCATGTCTGTCACAGAAGTCATAGGTAGGCTGGAAACAGAGCTGTTTTGCTGAATTTATGTAGGACATATCAGGGTGCAACTGATAGCCATAGCTACTGATGGGTGATGATACACTTGTGCTGGTGGTTTTGATTCACAGGGTTAGAATAAACAGAAGCAGTCTGGTTGGTAGGAAGTTGTGGTGTGCTTTCAGATGTGCTGGTCTTATTTTTTGAAGAACACAGGTAACATCAGGTAGTACTGATCTGCTTAGCTATTTTGATTCCACCAGTTTTGACAAAGAGCTAGCACCATAATTATCACCTGCAAGTATCAGATAAAGGAAGGCAGAAGGAGAAGTTTAGGGACATAAGCAGCAGTATCATAATTACTGGGTAGCTTCATGGGTTAAGTACAGGGGTGAGAATGAGGAGACTTAATATTGCTAACTGTGTGCATTACTTGCCTGCCTGTGCTTGTCATGTAACTCAGCCATGCATCAAACCCAATGTAATCTGCTTCCCTTTCAGAAAGAAAAGTTAGTACCCTCAACAGCTAGACCAGAGGTCTTATTCCTCATTTGCTGTAAGAATTAGTTTTTGCTGCTGCTGCTACTAAAATACTGCTTCACTATGACATTCACATCAGTGATCCTCTGCAGTCAAGAGTGCCTGTCTATGGACCAGGTATGTGTAGGCAGTGAACTTGAGCCTTTTTAGGGCAGCAGCTTTGAAAGATCTCTGTCAGTAGCAGTCAGAATTGGGGGGGGAAAGACATGGGGATTTGAAACCTGAAAATGGCAAGAAAGTAGGAGTGAATTCCTTAAGAAGGACACTATGTCCTAATATTTAAACTGCAGACTCTTCACTAAGGTAGTTGCTATGAGGATTCCTACCCTGCTGCAGAACAATATCTGGGGGATGCCTCATGAGCTGGATATTTCAGTATCACTTCTGCTATAGTAGCTGAACTCATCCCTGGGGTATTTGGGCATTCAAAAATAGTATTAATTGATTTTTATTTTTTTTTTTGCTATTGCTTTTTTACCATATGGTTGTGGGGCTGAATGCTGAACTAGGTCAGTTCCTTCTTGGGTTGTTTTGCACAGCTGCACAAACAGATCTCTTGGCAAAGATGCTGCAATGCAGAGGGACAGGGCACTGCTTCAGCTGGTACTGTCATCAGAAAGAATGTGTATTAAATTGTGGTTTACTTGGGAGTTTCCAAGGGGCTGGTGTCCCCAGTGATGACCTTAATAGCTCTTGGCTGAAGGACTGCAGTGACCTACTGAGCCTTTGCCTGCTGCAGCTGCCAGTGGGGAAAGAGCAGCTCCCCTTACTGCTCCTAGAGACAGGCACAGCAGAGCATGCAGTCCTTGAGGCACTGCTGTCAGCTGCCTCTTGTGCAGCCTCCTACATATTTCCCAACAAAGTTCAGTTGTGTGGGTCCTGCCTACATGTGTAAGGTTTCTTATTTCATAGCTTCCCCCCCCGACCCCCCTGCTGGCTGCGGGGCCAGGCTGTCCCATGATGTGGGATTCTCACACATGCTGTTTGTTATTCTGTCCTTTTTCCTTTCGTCCTACAAAGATTTAGAGAAGAGGGTGGGTTAGGGGAAAACTTTGCAAGTCTTTGAAGCAACTTGACTTTCAATGATTAATTGCAGCAAAGAGCCTACACAAGGGAGGGAGACTGGGTTTTTAATTTATTGATGTTTCTTTGTGAGAACAAATTTATAGCAGAGGGGAAGCAGCTTCTGAAGAGAATATCAAATGGTTAAAAGGTGCCAAGTGTTCTTTGATGTCGCAGCCCTAGAGAAATACTGGAAGGTAGTGAGGGACAGACACTGTTTATTTATAAAATAAAGATCAATTACCTGGTTTTGGCAAGAGCCTGTGACTGAGCTGCTGTTAACAACCTATTCATTAGGCTTGGAGCTGGACTGAATGTTTCTGCCACAGCTGCCTGCTGAGGTGATGAGAGCCTGCAGCTTGGATGACATTTCCAGCCATTAAGTCTTTCCATGCATCTCTGAAGCAGCACCTGTTTCTCACATTAGCTGAGAAAGCCACAGCATCTTGCTGTGCTGTGAAGTGCAGGCTACTGTTAGGAGGGAGGCAGCAAGATGGAAACCAGTGAGACAGCTGACCAGGCCAAGTGTGTGGCCTCTCTTCAGAAACAGCATCTGGCAGCTGCTGAGGGCCTTGTTGTGCTTGCTAAAGGAGAGAGGAAACAGAAGCAAAATGGCAAGAAAGAAAAAGTTGAGACTGTTCTTCCTAGAGCTGGATTCTTGAAGACAGGCCAAAAGTTCAGTGTCAGGTCAGGGTCTTCTGCTGTGCTTCTTGATGCTTCTTAGAAGTCCAGAAGCTGTAAGGAGAAAGCATCAAACCTGTCAGCACAGGTGCTGGGTCCCCAGACATCTCCCAGAAGGAAGAGGATTAAGCTGCTTCAGCGCACATCCTCGTCCTGTTCAGAGCAGTTACACACCAGCTGCGGCAGCACCTTCTCCAGCTGCTCCACCTCCACCATCCCC